AAATAACGTTAAGAAACACGTGTGAATAACCGCATAAAAAAACATCTTAGTAAATATTTTATGTTTTTTAAACTAGATATTTCCTCTAATGAACATCTTTTTATGATTATGATAAATTTTCAGCATGCAATTCCGATAATGACTTTTTGCACACTCTGTTCCACTATGGCATGGGCAAATAATGAAAGAAATTATTGGCAAAAATCATGCTCCAGTTTCCTGCCACAAATGGTTAGAATCGATAAAAAAAGTTTACATGAACCAAGAATTATAGCTCAAGAATTTAAACTATTTGTAACACTGCTATACTATCCCCCTCATTTGTGCTATTTTTGTCAGATTCTAAATTCTTATGCCGTAGTCTTTTATTAAAACTATGAGTTAAAAAGGATGGCATCAGTTAGCATAGGTGATTGTACAAGTGTGCTACTGAAGTACTTTGAACCATTTGCTTTATCCTTCTATTATCATCCATTATTTCCACTCAACAATAGCTTCTAAAGTTTGTTCATAACACTGTAATGAATACTTTTTATTGAAATTACATTTTTCGTGCTGATACTCACCAAACCAACATTCTGATTTGTCTGGACTTTGAAGACAAGACTCTGGAAATTTTCTTGAATGTAAAGGTATGTTTGCACTTCAGCCGGAGAGTTTTTTTAGTACAAGAATTATATTTTGATGATATATGCTTGTGCATACATTAGCTGACATTTGTCGATTAAGGAGGACATGTAAAGGTCTTAAACTTGCAGATTAACTTACGCCAATCTTTATGTTTTCATTTTCTGTCATAAACAAAGCATGCGTCTCTTTTATGCTCATGTAATGTGCCATTTTGAATATAATTTTTTTTTCTTATTATTTTTTGTTGCAAATTTGATTTTTTTTCCAGATGAGACTCGCGGTTGACATCATCATTTTTATAAAAACTAACAACTTTATTCTTTATTTCTTTATATAAGGAAGTAGCTCTTCTAAAACCATTAGAACATTCTACAACGTTGGAATGTTGTTTAGAGGCTAATTGTAAAACAACTGCTTTTTGATGGACTATTAGTTTTACCTTATTTACAGCCCTTGATAGAGAAGAAGATGTACTATATGGCTTCTTGTAGCAAATAATTTCATTAGTTTTATTTTTAGTTGCTTTTATCCATTTAGCTTTTTTTTTTCCTTTTCTTTAATCTTTCTTTCTATATCAACTTTTTGATTTTTACCTTTTGGTAACTTTGAGTATTCGTATCTTTTTTTTATTCTGTATTTTTTAACATACTCTTTATCTTTGGACTAACATACTTTTTATCTTTGCTAAAACATGATTGAGCCTTCTTAGTTATAATTATTAAAATACAATGACTGATAATAAGTTATAACTAAAACAAAAAAGTTAAAAATATCTATAGAAAAATAAGTTTAACAATTCTATAGAAAATGTTTTATTAAGTAGTTTCAACATATGTTTTAATACCATATGTTTCAAAAGTTTAAAAAAATTCTTTAAAACTTTTTGTAATTCGTTTTGTTACTAAAATCAACTAAACCCTATTTTATAAACAACGCCAGTATCTATTTACAATGAGTCTTACTTACGGGACATTGATTCGTTACTTAAGGGACATATATAGACAATGCTTGTATGCCTAAAAGAAATACTTCAATCAACAAAAAATCATCTAGATATATAAATTATTTAGTATCTTATAATTGCTATAATACATTTTATAATTGGAGATCGTTTTTAGGAGTAAATTTAAAAAACTATTGTTTTTGTTACTTACGGGACAGTCGTTTTGTTGGGAAACTATAGCAGATAATATATTTTGTTAAATATAAAAAAATTATTTGAGCCAATATCACTTTTTAAGTTCATATATGGTATAATAAATTTGTGGTAGTTAATAGTTAAGATAAAAAAAAAAATTCCTTTCATGATTCTATGCTTTTATCAAAATGTAATTTAGCTACCATTTAAATAGAAAGTATGACCCTAGTAAGCACAGATCGTTTTTAAAACGTTTAAAAAATGTTAAAAACCGCTTTCATAGACTTTTTAAACGTTTTAAAAACGTTCTGTGCTTACTGAGACGCAAGACTTTAATTAGGAATTAAAACCAAAAAATAAGACAAATAACATTATGAATCAAAATTTAAACATATGGCAACCCAATGATAACTTGGTTTTTGTTAAAAAAATAAGACAAATAACATTATTAATCAAAATTTAAACATATGGCAACCCAATGATAACTCGAATTTATTTATTTTTTCCATCGAAATAACTCACTTGAGCGTGGAAATGCCTTGTAGTTCTACGTCTATAGAAGTTCATTAATTTTAATAATATTAAGTACAATAACTAAAATATTTTTTTTTGTTTATCTTCTCCTTGTTAAATGCTTATTTAAGGTTCTATTGACAAGATCCTCGCAATCTACTTTCAGATACCTTGTTTATATTTCTTACATTTTCTATTACCAAACTGTATAACGACCAAATGTAAACCAAAAAAAAAGTAGAATATTCTTAATATCAATTACAAATTAAACCGATATCGGTTCATTTTGTAACCATTGTTTGTTTTTCTTTTCGAAAGGATTTTTAGAGCTGCTGCATATATGCCATCTTCGTAAAAGATGCTTTATGAAATTAGACAAATTATTATTTGCAGATAAGTTCATGCAATTTACAACTGCATCTAAAGTTAGGATTACTAACTTCAGCTAGCTAACTTTAGATTTTCTATTTGTTATAAATGTATATATATATATATATATATATATATATATATATATATATATATATATATATATATATATATATATATATATATATATATATATATATGTGTGTATATATATATATATATATATATATATATATATATATATATATATATATATATATATATATATATATATATATATATATATATATATATATATATATATATATATATATATATATATATGTATATTATTGTTATTTAGGTGCCCCAAGAAGATCTAGCAGTCTTGTCACAGAGCACCGTGGAAATGCATTTTAACTTGAAAGTTCATGCCTTCTTCCGGTCTTGGTATTGGTCTTAAAGCCTAAAGTCTTGGTCTTAGTCTTGGTCTTAAAAGCCTAGAGTATTGGTCTTGGTATCTATCTCTACTATCTTTTCATTTCTTGATTCTTACAAAAAATATCAACTCAACGAATGGATTAGTTATTATTAACAAACCGTAGATGGCCGCAACTTCCTGCTCTCAATGAGAGTTCGTTGTGATGATTTGACAAGGTTCTACTCGGTGTAGTTAAGGTAATTTACAAATTATTCGAATTCTTTTATTTGGAACTAGCATTGTTTTATCAGCATATTATTTCTAAACAAGAGCTTTGAATTGTATAATATTTTTGCTTCCAATTTTTTCAATATTTAAAGAAACTTTTCTTTTTTTTTTTACGTAATTTTCAAATGCTTTTTACTATCCCTAATAGTAAATTTGAAGAACACCATTTTGAAGTCTTTAGATCATTTTTGCTCATCGGCGTTAACATGAATTTTGTTAAAATCTTTTGAAAAAGTGCCTTAATTTACTATAGATCGTAATTCTAGTCGGTTTTGACGTATATTAACTATATAATTATCAAAATACAATATTTCTATCAATTTTAACAAAAAATACTAGAATTCCGACCAAGAAAGAGCATATAATTAAGAAAAAGCGCCAATAAAGAATCGGAACAGATCATATTATTAAACTATGATGTTCATTTTACCTAAAAAACATTTTTATTAAAAATCTTATTCAAATTTGGAAAAGCGATTGGGATATTAAAAAGATTTTTTTTTTTAAAAAAAAGAACCTTCGGTTTCGCTATAAACATTTATATTTAATGATACCGCAAATTTTTCATTTTGATTTTTTTCGTCTTTTAAAACTCTCAGACCTGATCATTTAATAAAGATATGTCGTAGTCAACAAAATATGATACAGAAGCTATAATATTTTATAACTGCCTTTACTACACTGAATAACTGAAATTTTTTATGTTAGGAGAATTAAAAAAAAAAAAAAAAATTTTTTTTAATGTTTAATTAAAATTATTTATTTTATTATTTTTTTATTTGTTTATGTATTTTTTTTTATTGATGTTTAGAAATGAAAGAAATTTAATTTAAAAATGAAAAAAAAAAAGATTTAAAAAGTGAAAACTCAGAACCTAAGTCTTGATTCCGGTCTTGTAAAAACTTTCAGAATCTTAGTCTTCGGTTGATGTTTTGGTCTTAGTCTTCGTCTTAAAGCATTCAGCCTTGGTCTTGAGCCCAAATGTCTTGATCTTATTCTTGGTCTTTACTGTCTTGACGACATGTCTGATAATTTTTGAGAATGTATTTTCTTTTACTTTTGTCCACTACCTGGCCCACTGTGCAATTAAAATGTACTGTACAATGTACATTTTAAATGAAAAAGTAGTCAGTGAAAGCGATCTTGAGATATTTACTTGTAATTGACACTAGTGATTTAAGGATAAAATTACAAATCGATATAAAACTAAAACAATTAAAACACACTAAAAACTTTTTGTTTTCTGTTTAGTTAAATTTAAACCAAAATTTCTATTATTTTTTATACTTTCATATAAAAAATGAATAAATTATAGTAAACACTTTAAAATATTTAAAGGGTGCATGTCTAAAATATTTAAGGGTTGCAGGTATAAAAACAATCAAGAACTACTGGAATACTAGTTCAATCGATTCTTGAGTTTGATTGTGAAAACGTCATAACGTTTAGTTATAAAAAAAAAACCTCTGACAAATAAATAAAACATGTTTAAAACTTTTCACAAAATTTACAATTTTATTAGAAAATCGACATAAAATAAAAAGATATAAAAATGTTGCAACAGTTTTTGTAATAAGTTTTAATTCGGGAAAGTAAAATTCAGAAACTCTTGATTAGTTTAAAACTTTTTGAAAATATTTAATTTTAAAAAAGTAATAAAGAGAATATTTCTAAAAAATTGCTTACATAGAAGTATATCATATAATCAGAAAGTTATCCATATTTCGATTTATGAAATTATTCAGATTTTATTTGCGGTTATTACGACATAACAAAAAATGAGAGAAAAAAAAAATTGGAAAAAAACATAAAATAATTTCAGCATCGAGCACCATGTAAAAATATGGCGTATAAACGATAAAAAAATCTTAAAAAGATTTAAATGTCAAGTAACGTTGTTTCCTTTCTGTTTTCATTTTTGGTTGAATACGTTTCCTTCATTATAAAATACGAAACTTGAATGTTGTAGCGTTTTATTAATACGAAATACGGAACCAAAATGTAGCGTCTTCAAAGAAACACGCCAGATTTGAAATCGTGAACTCTTAGAAACAAAAAGCTTTATTTCTTTTTGATAAACGACAACAAACTGGCATCCTAAAGGGAGAATTAAAAAAGAAAATAAATGGAGGGTAAGGTGACAAAGGAAAAAGGAGTTTGGAGGGTATTAATATTTAAAAAGGGCAAAAATATGCTTTTAAAAATAATTCTTTATGAAAAAAAAGATTCTCTGCTTATGATGGAAAAATTAGATTCGCGCCGAGACACAACAGGTTTTCTATTATACAAATTTCCAATATAAAACTGTTGTGTTTCTTCTGCAACCAACTGCTGCTCTAAATCATGCTTTTGTTCTATAAAGCTTATGATGGCAGTTTCAATAGATAAATTGTCGTGGATGCACTCAAGCAACTCTTGACCAAGTATTTGCGAGTTTTTGTTAATCCCGAGAAAGTTGCGAGTGACATTTTCATAACAAGACTGACAAAGTAAATCAGAACCTTGCTTTGTATTTAGTTGAGATGCCGATAGGTTATTTTGTGTATTTTCTTCTTTTTTATGATAATGACGTTTAACAGCTTCTAACTTTTTTTCAAGTTCATTATTATACTTTATATAACCCACAAGATTTTGACTAATTCGCTGATAATCTTCAATAATTCTTTTCCTATCACTCTTCTGTATCGATAACTTTGTCTCCAAACGTTTATTCTCATATACTAATGAATCTCGCTCATTTTGTAATTGAGCAATTAAGTTATCCTGGTCATGTATACTATGCTGAACAATTCCAGTACTTACCATATTTAAGGTTCTTTCTTCTTGAAGATTATTACATCTTTCCATTAGATCAGCAGCTTCTTCCTTAAAGTTTTTACGTTCAGTTTCTGATTGCAATAAATCATCTTCGAGATATTGAAAATGTCTATGTAATTCTATTGTTTCTAGCAATACTTTAGCACTTTTACTGGGTGTGCCATTAATTCGCAACTCCATTTCCAGAAGGTCCTCATAAATAACACGCAAATGAGTTTCAAGCTGGGAATTGCGTTCTTTATATTGTAACAAGTTTTTTTCAATAATTTTTTTAAAGTGAACTACATTAATAACATTATTTTCAGCAATATTTAATTGGTTATTTAAAGAACGAATCTCTTCTAACAAGCACACTTGTTCATTCTCAAAAGATTCTATATCAACCTTTAGCTTCTGAAATTCGTAATGAAGACATGTCAATCCGTTCGATAAATAACGGTCACTATTGGTAATTTCATTGATATTTCGAGTTAAGTGACGTTCCGCGTCTTTAAGTTTTAACCTTTCAACCGTAGCCAAACAAAGATCCTGATGTGCTGATTGCAAATCTTCGACAGAGTTATTAACACAAAAGTTCAAAATTTTATTTGCATAATCTGCAGCGTGTAGATCTTCTAAAAGAAGATCTTTTTCATGATCCATGTTGTATTGCTGGTTCAATAAATTGCTCACATAGCTGATGGAATCCTCCATGCAATTCGATAAAGTATTCGATGACTCATCATTTTGCATATCAAAATGCTAAAAAAATGTGTTTATTAGATTAAAATTAAAAAAAATATTTAGGACAAGACACAGGTAGACACATGCACAGTACAAGCATATATAAAAAGACGGAATACATACACATATAGTAAAACACATAAAAGAACACATACACAAATACACTCAGCGAAATTTCCATAGTTCCACTTACAATTTGTACATATAAATAAATTCAGGAATATTTGCATTTTTTTTTTGTTTATTACAGGAATTATTAGGAATAAGTAAATTAGCAAATAATATTTTATTATATTATACTGTCGAGAATTTCCATATATAGTTCGCGCCAATATTCCCCATAAATCTTCAATAAGGTTCAAGTAAGGTGAACATGATGCCAATAATACTTAAAACCATCAGGCCCATCTAAGTTAAACTTTTTTTCGTCGGAAAAAATAACATTTTCCCATTCTGCATCCCATGTCATGTGGTCCTTTGCAAACTTAAATCTAAATTCTTTTCCATTGGAATTGTCCTGATTTTGACAAAATTTGTTGGACACGTCTTGTAGTCACAGGTAATTCAAGTTCAGTCCTTATTTGTCTTGCTGTTCGTACTAAGGATGACATCAAACGCAAAATGGAAGAATGTTGTCTTTTGGTTGTTTTTTTATTTCCGCCCTTAAAGTGATTTTTGTTGTAATTTTTACCTAAGTTTATAAAATTGTTCACTGCATGATGAGACCTTTTAATTTTCTTTGCAATTTGTCGATTGGACAAACCCATATCTTTGTAAGCAACAATTTTTGCTTTTTCTCCCTCATTTAACACCTTTCCGTGTGGCATTGTAATAATTAAATAACAAATCTTAATTAAAAATACACAAAACTTCCGTATAAAACAAACAAATTAAAAAATCTTAACAAATTAACTCTTATTAAGTGTTCAAAACAAACTAATGGTATATATAACCTGTATATATACCAATTAAAACATTCTAGAAAATTTAGTTTCAATTGTTTTAGAAACACATAAAATTGTCATAAATGTATTTGTTTGCAATAGGTCTAATAAAGAAAATTTTTGTGGTTAATTTTATAAATGCGTTCCGCATAAAATCTGCTATAATTACATGGAACTATAGAAAGTTCGCTGAGTGTAGTAAAAACGTAATAAAACTTACATAGTATAACACATAAAACAACACATACACATTTAGTAAAACGTGATATTTGATACAATCTGACAATGTAGATATATAGACAAAAGCAAAACAAGATAGTATATAAAAGTTGATGAAAACGAACACAACCTATTATTATAAGCCAATTCAAATAAAACTTGAACCTGTATAATTTTTCTAAGCTGACTTCTCAGCTCATCTTTTTCAAAAGCAAGCAACTTTAATCTCTGCTCTAATTCTTCTTGCTCATTCTTCAATGCAATTTTTTCAATGTTGTATTCATTCAATTCTATTTTCATTTGTTTTACTTGGTTTGTTATATCAAAATTTGCATCATTTTGTTCTAAATTGAGATTTTCTTGCTTTTTAATCACTTCTGTAACTTCTCTTTTAAGTGGCGATAATGCTCTCGCTAATTGTTGCAATTCAGAATTCAATATTGCTCTCTCACGGTCTGCTGAATCAAGATCTGCTACCAACAATCTGAAAAGTTCATTATTTAGATTTAATCTTAAATTGTTAAAAAAGTAAAAAAAAGAAAAGTGAATTACTTACTGTCTATGACTTTCTGCTTTGGTTGCTTTTGAGCGAAGGTGTGAAATATCAAGCTCAGCCATTAGCAATTTATCTTTAAAAGTTTTGATTTTTTCTTCAGATTCTAGTTTTTCTTTTTCTAATTTTTCCACAAGCTGTTTAGATTGCTCCAACTGCTCTTGTTGAGTATATTGCTGGGTGCACAAATCTAAATTACGTCCTTCAGTGGCACATAACTGCCTAAAAAAAATATAAAAAATGAAGCAAAAAAATTAAATGATTTAAAACATTTTTCATATAATAGCTTAATACTAACCTTAATAATTCTTCGGTTTTTTCAGCAGCTAAAGCAAGTTCAGATTCTTGTTTTATGTAAAGACTTTCAAGTTGCTCAACTTTGTTTTCGAGTTTAGTATTCTCATGCAATATAATTGCAATTTCTTTACGCAATTCACAGTTTTGATTTTTAAGATATTCTGCTTCTGATTTAAGTTGATTTTGTTCACGAATATGTTCTTCAATCTGAAACTCTAGTTTTTCAATGCTTTGTTTGAAATAAATTTTTTCTTGGTAAACTGAAGATGAGTCCTAAAACCAAAATTAATTAGTAATTTACTTGCAAACATTACAAAAATATATAATAAAGAAATAAAATAAAATAAACCTTCTGTTGATTGCTTTGATAATTATTAGAAACAAGTTGACGCTCTACAGACAATAACTTCTTCTCCAAAACAAGTTTTTCTTCACTCAGCTCCACTAATCGAGTTTTAAAACTCATCATGTTCTCTATTAAAGACCCTAAATAAAAATATTTAGTGAATACAAAATTTTTTAAGATATATAAATTCTCTTTTTATACAAATACAGGGCTAAGAAACAACACTGATACATACTTGAAACTAGGATAAACTGTATATGTATGTATGTATCTAAACTTATATATCTATCTATAAATATATTTACTACTATATATTTAGGTTACTATGCAGACTGTTGCTTTTGAAATAAACAATTTAAACTAAACACTTTTTCAGAAGAAAAAAATAAAAAAATTTCTTTTACATGTTGAAACTACCTGCTCAAACTTTAACCCTAAAATAATGATGTACATAGTCCTGTCTATTAATGAATAGTGTTATCAGGTGATATCAGTATCATTGAATCAACATTATTAAAAATATGACTAAAAATAGTTAGAGATTTTTTTTGGCAAGTTTTTAAAAAATTGTTTTTGTGTATAGAAAGTGAAAATAGTTGCCAAAATTTTCTTTACTTAGTTAAATGGCCTACCAGAACTCTTAAATTTTCAATGTCAAGGGTCATATTGAAATACTGGTACTGAAAATGGCATATACCTATTTTTGATTTTTAGGGTGTACTTAAATCTGGTACTAGACTAGTAAATTTTACATTTTACCTCTGAAACTAGCTGGTTAGACTTTAGACAGATAGGTTAAATAAATAAGTGAAAGATAGCTAGACATTTTAAAATGTAAAGATTCAATTTGTTAATCAAAGAATGAAATTGAACTTCAACAAGTTTATCCAAGAAACATATACATAGTTAACTTTAAATGCAAAAATAATATAAAACCAACAAAATATCTAAAATCAACACCAACTCTAAGTAATTAGGAAATAAGTGATTAACATATAGGTGATTAGGATATAAACAACATGGATGTTGGGGTTTGTTAGTTAAATATGTCATACATCCCTTAAGAGTGCTATGACTAAAGATGATTGGACAAGAGTGTATGCAGTTTTTAAAAGGAAAATTGAAACTCCAATAAGTATAATGTATCCCACTGCTAGTAAAACTTAAACAAAACTAATTATATTAATTAAAAAGCTGGGATATGGTGTAATGTAATGGGAAAGCTGGGGTTTGGTGTAAGTGAAACAACTTTTTTATACCCAAAAGAACATTCAAAACACAACTTATTATTATTGATATACTTAAATAAACATTATTAGCAACTAAGTTAAATAATTGTATCCACCAATTAACATTAAATATTATTGATTATGTTTAGTTGGGTTTTATTGTTATATTTACTTTATGCTTTATATGTAACCAATTTTATGTAGGCATAAACCTATATTTATGTATATTTATGTTTTCAATTCATAAAAAACTTTAGCTTCTGGTACATCACATTAAGTAAATGGAATGTTCATTCGAAACCGAGTTTCAGAAAGACATTTCAGAAAAAAAAAATTAAAAAAAAAAATGCTTTTACAGTATTTTATGGCAATTACCCATAAAATTTCTAAATTTATGTTTAACAATATGTTAATGTTTTTTAACATGGTACTGACATTAATCTTAAAGATTTGAAACCACCAAAGATTCAATACTTTATTACATGTTGCATTTTGATTGATACACCTGAATTTATGACTAATATATTTTTTCACTCCAACAAACTACTGGGTTTGTTTTAACTACTGAATTTACAACTATATATGCTATTTAACTTATTCAATTTATTTATTTATTTATTATTATTTAACTTATTTAACTTATTCAACTATATAACTTATTCAATCCTCTGAATTAGATAAAATGAGGTCAGCAATAATTTGCTGACCTTAATCTTTTAGAGGTCAGCATCAGGTCATCAAGAAATATTTGATACAAAGGTCTTACCGTAAAAAATAGAAATGAGGTCAGCAATTTTTTGCCCACCTCAGACACTTTGAGGTTGGCAGTTATGTCGGCAATGCCGACCCTAATTCGAAGGGTTGGTTATTTATGTCTGAAGTTGAAAGTACATTTAAAACTAAAAGCGATTATTTGAGTCATTGGTCAGACTATATATGCAAAAATTGTTGGAATATAATAGAAAATACAAAGAGATATACAAAAAATATACAAAAGATACACCATAATAATTAAAATGTTCCACATCAATATAATTAGTTATAACAAGTACCTAGTTTTCAAAGTCACAAATAGCCCCACTAACAAAGTATTGGATATACTATATTTGGAAATAGTTGAACTTTTTCTAAACACATTTGCTGTATCTTAAGTATTGTTTTAACTTTACTAACTTGAAGTTGTCATTAAATATGTCAAAAAAATACTTGCTGATCCCTATCTCCCTAATTTCTATGAGCATAAAACAAAATTATATACCAACAAAAAACATTTCAATCAAGTTTACAAAACAGTACATTTCAAAATAAATAAATAAAGTTTACCACATGAATTGTTATCACTGAGTAGTGCTTGAAGTTCTTCTCTTTCTTTTTTTAGATTTTCAGCAACTGAAGCAATTAACTCAAATTTTGACTTTAATTCAGCAATCAATTGCTTCCTTAAAACCATTGGTTCTTCCATAAAATCATTCTTTATTAATAATAAATAAATATATATGCATATATATATATATATATATATATATATATATATATATATATATATATATATATATATATATATATATATATATATATATATATATATATATATATATATATATATATATATATATATATACACACTGTCCTCCAAAATATAAGCAACCTTTTAGTTCAATTACCGAATAAAGTATTTATTTGTGAAAATAAAAGACTTTAAATATGTGTTTTAATTATATATAAGAAAAAGTAATATGACTAATACATATTACCTTGAAATAAATTAATGTATTGTCTTACATGTAGATTTAATGTAAGACAATACATTAATGTGGTTTTCTAAAACATTAGCCACTTTTTTTATATTGACTAAAAAATAAATAAATACTAAAACCAATAATTATTAGCACACCCTTAACTTTTTAGAAGTTGATCATTTTTTTCTTGCGTAATCTCATTCATATAGCTTTATAAAGCTCTTCATATAGCTTTATAAAGCTCATCTGCATTTTTTAGAACATTTTTTTTAGAGAAAGTTCAACTTGATGCCATAAATTTTCAATCCAATTGAGATCAAGTGATTAAGCTGGCTGCTTATAAAATTTTCAAAATGTTTATTTATTTCCAAGTAAAATTATGTAAAAATATTTCTCTTATATACAAAATTAACAATTTGATTTGGTTTAAAGAGTATATTTTTTTAAAATATACTGTATTTAGTAATCAAAAGGACAGTGTATATATATATATATATATATATATATATATATATATATATATATATATATATATATATATATATATACATATATATATATATTGGAGGTCAATGTGTGTGTGTATATATATATATATATATATATATATATATATATATATATATATATATATATATATATATATATATATATATATATATAGATTAATAATAAACAACATATAATATTGTGAGAATATATATCATTTATATACACACAAATATACATGCATACATCATTTATACACACATAAATATACATACATATATCACAACTTGCATGTATGAAAAACAAGCAAACAAACTTCTTGAGGATAAATAAATTTTTGGTTTCAATAATTATCAATATATTTTATGACCAAACATTCTAACTAAATTTGTAAGCTTAATTTGAATTATGCAAATACTCATATAGCATTAATTAAATGTCTAATTTATGTACATACTAATATAGCATTAATTAAATGCTGCAATTTTGTTTTTAGGCAATTCACAATCAACATGACAAGAACAAATGGAAAAAGCCTCAGTTAAATGTTTTAAAATGCTTTTTAATAGAAAAAACATTGATAAAGGTTTTTATCTTGTTTGATTCATTTGCAGAACAAACAGTAGCTTCAAAACTGTTAAGCATAATATTCAATCCTTGGAATTAGGAAAAATGAGGTCTGCAATAATTTGCCAACCTCAATCTTTTAAAGGTTGGCAAAAATAAGTTGATACAAAGGTCTACCATAAAACATAGAAACGAGGTCGACAATATTTTGCCAACCTCAAACACATTCAGGTCGGCAGTTAGGTCGGCGTTGCCGAATGCCGATCCTAATTCCGAGGGTTGAATATTTGATTTCAAATCAGAAGAAAATTATAAGAAAATATTTATATGTAAGAAATTGAAAAGTGTAAAGTATTAAATAGGAAAATTTTACCTGTCTTTAGATGGTTGGAGTTATGTTTTTAGTAATAGAAAGGCAAGTGACAATAGAAAGGTAAATGACAAGTAAACATAACACAGATTAAATTCAAATTGTTAAAACCAACTGTTGCTTTAGATTAGTTGCAAAAAGATTATTATATCTTGAAAAGAAACTTTTGAAAAGATAATATATTGTCTTGTATATATCTGATGAAAAAATAAATAAATTGAAAACTCGATGTCCTTAGAATGAGAGTGAAGCTTATTTCTTTGTAAATGCTTTGCTTTCTCAGGTTAGGATCATCATGATTGTTCTTATACTTGTAACATCCAGTATGTCCTGTCATATGTCCTGCTACTTTGTATCTTGATTTTCATAGACTAATAGCAGTCAAATCTGACATAAAACACCCAATGCTTTGGGGCTTGTGGTTGAGACTAGTGATAGTGTATCTAGTCTTTACTCAGATGTATAAAAAAATAAGCAGATGTAAACTGTATCTTGTTACTGGCTTCTAGAAGGTCTTCTAAGCAATAACTTTACCTTTTTTAGAATGTCATCTCTCATTTTAACTCAAGCAACTTTAACTCAAGTAACTTTAACTCAAGCAACTTTAACTTAAGTAACTTTAACTCAAGTTACTTTAACTCAAGCAACTTTAACTTGAGTAACTTTAAGTCAAGCAATTTTGTTGTTTTACTGCTTATTATTCTTAAAATATTGTTGATATTGATGAATGGAACATTAATATAGATGAATGGAACATTGATATTGATGAATGGAGCGTTGATATTGATGAATGGAATGTTGATATTGATGAATGGAACATTGATATTGATGAATAGAACATTGATATTGATAAATGGAACATTGATCTTGATGAATGGAACATTGATATTGATGAATGGAAAGTTGATATTGATGAATGGAACGTTGATATTGATAAATGGAACATTGATCTTGATGAATGGAGCGTTGATATTGATGAATGGAAACACTTTTACTGAGTTCTTTACTTTGTATTTTATCAGATTATATTTTGTTACTGAGCTTTCATTAAAACCATATATCCAATCCATCTCAAAATTAGGATCAATTGAACTTGCTTAAACTCTCTACCTCTTTAAATATCATATTTTCTTCTGCATTGAGTCTTGTTTTTGTATTTGGTTAGTTCAGAATGGTCTTTCTTTTTTAGACAAGTTAAAAAAACATTTAATAAGTGTAGTGACATCTATATAGAGTGTTAAACTTGACCCCATCTCCCATTGTTATAAGTTTGCATCTCTTATTGTTGTAAGTTTACATCTCTTTTTCTTTTCTTCAAATACTACTATAGTCACTGCTCAAGCAAGATATAATCTTGTACACCAAGTATTAAATATTTACCATATGAGTATTTTTTATAAAAATGATTAATGAAATAAAAACAACAGACTAAAACATCCTAATAATACACTTCATGAGAAAGCATACAAAAAGTGCAGTTAAAAGACCAAACTAACTTAAGCCCAAAGAACTATAAACTACTTAACCATTGATTACACATATGAGATCTGGTGATTCTACTTATAACACATATGAGATCTGGTGATTCTACTTATAACACATATGAGATCTGATAATTCTACTTACAACACCTATGATATCTGATGATTCTACTTATAACACATATGAGATCTGGTGATTCTACTTACAACACATATGAGATCTGGTGATTCTACTTATAACACATATGAGATCTGATGATTCTACTTACAACACATATGAGATCTGATGATTCTACTTATAACACCTATGAGATCTGGTGATTCTACTTACAACACATATGAAATCTGATGATTCTACTTATAACACATATGAGATCTGATGATTCTACTTATAACACATATGAGATCTGATGATTCTACTTATAACACATATAAGATCTGATGATTCTACTTATAACACATATGAGATCTGATGATTCTACTTACAACACATATGAGATCTGATGATTCTACTTATAACACATATGAGATCTGATGATTCTACTTATAACACATATGAGATCTGATGATTCTACTTAAGATCATTGAAATGATAGAAGCATGAGACTTAGAAATGGTAGAAAATTATGGACAATATTCACAGGAATCTTTCAAAAATCCTTTCAAAACCTCTTTTAATTAAGGAATCAACCTCTCAAATCTCAATTATTAAATTAATCCAAGCATCCCAACAACCAAAATAAACTTTTTAAAGTCTAAGTTATAATTTTAGCTGTTCTCTGTGACAAGATCTTACTGTCTTCTTTGAATTTCCAATAGAATGACAAGATTTTAGATACCAAAATTGCAAGTTTTTAAAGAGGTCTCTAAAAACATTGAATTTTGGCATATATATGGACATCATAGGGCATATATATGGACATCATAGTTGTTAAATGCACTAGTTTCCGGTGCAGGATATGAAATATTTTTTCAATGATTAAACTTGGAAGTTAAAAAAAGCTTACATAAGACATTAAATAGAGATTCACTTACAAATATTAGTAAATTAAGTTCATTCAAGTATGAACCAAGTATTAACAAGTGTATAAAAAATGAAACAATTATTAAGAGAATTTTTATAAAAATAACTTTCATGCAAATGACAGCTTTTTTTTCATAGTAACTTCAGTAGTTTTTATAGACTACTTCAGTAGTCATAGAAACTTCAAATTAAAGAAAAGATTATTTTTTTCTCCATAAAACCTGTGATGTAAAAAAGTCCTTGTACTAATGGTAATAAAACAGTAATAAATAAAATCTTAAAGAATTACAGGGCAATAGCAAACACTATTTTATTATCATTAATTGTAACTTATTTAGATGATGATGATGATAATGTTGACAATGATGATGATGACAATGATGACGATAATAATATCTACAGTTTACATAAAAATATCTACAGCTTACATAAAAATTAATGAATTATTGTATGAAATGATTTTACCTCTATCTCTTTTTCATTCTTTTCAAAGTTAGTCAAAATTTTATTAAATACTTTGTTAAGGGTTTTTAATTCAGCAAATAAAGATTCTTCTTCAAGTTGACAAACATTAAGTTGGTCAGTGAGGCTGGCATTTTGTGATTCTAATAATGCTAGCTATAAAAAAAACCATGAATGTTCTTTAATATAATTTAGTAAAAAGCTATATCAAAACATTTTAAAAAATTACCTTTTTTTTAATACTTTCTTCACCATTTTATATAATATAGTAAAAGGCTTTATGAAAGCATTTAAAAAATTACCTTTTCCTTAATACTTTCTTCACCAGTTTGGGCTTTTAGTACTTTCTCCTTTAAATTAGCAATATTTTTATTAAGATCTTCCACAACTAAACGTGTGGTTTTTAAGTCTCCATCTAATTTTTCAAACTCTTGTTTTATATGTTTATTTTCAGCAGTTAAAACTACTGTTTCTTTTTGTAATATTCTTAAACTTTCATTAATTGTAAGCTGATCCATCTCTAAAAGTTGGTTTTTTTCTAAAACATTATTGAGCTCAATCTGAAGCTTTTCTCTTGCGTTCTTTGCAACTTCAACAGTTGATTCAAGAAGTTCCTTTTCTTGCTCAATAACTTCTTTTGACTTGATCAACTCTGTTAGTCTCGTCTCAATAGCCATCTTTTCATCGCTTAATACCGATATTAATGTTTGAAATTTTGAAGTGTCTTCTTCAAGCACTCTTACTTCAGATGTAAGTTTTGCATTTCTTTCCCTTGATGTAATTAGTTCTTTTTGAATATCTTCTTTTTCTGCCATAAAAAATGCCAACCGCCTTTGCAAGTCCAATACTCTACCTTCGATCTCCGAGACTTCACCAGAGTGAATGCTTCTTCTTAAAAGTGCTCCATGCATAGAAAATGGCTTTAGCTTATCAGGTGTAGAAGAATTTGATGCAACTGATGTAGGTTGGCTTTGTGTTCGTCGTGCTATACATGCTTCATGATGTTCATTGTTCTCAAACTGATTTAATTGTTTTAAAAGACGTTCTTTTTCCGTAGAGACTTTAATAAAATTAACTTCTAATTCATCAAACTTTTCTTTAAACATTGCTAACTGCTCTATAAATTTATCTTTCTCAAAATTAAACATTTGTAAAATTTTCTCTTCATTTTTGTGTAGAATATTTATTTCAGACTTCATTTTGTCTGCTAATACAATGTCTTGCTTGAGCTTAACATTCTCAGTTTTCAGATTATTTACTTCGCGTTCAAGCTTCAAGCGTTCACTCTTTAATGCAGCAAGTTCACGCTGTAGGTGCTTTTCAACTTGTTTATAACTTGCAATATCTTCTTGAATAGATTCTTTCTGTCCTTTAAGTGCAGTATATGCTCGTTCAGTATTAGATTTATCAGCTTTGGCAAGAGATATATCTCGCTGAAAACGCCTGCGCTCAACCCTTAAGGAAGACATCTCTTGTCTTAAAGCATTAATTTCTTTAGCAAACTTCTCTTTTTCTGATCGAACACAACTAAGTAATCTTTCTTCCTTTGCTTTTAGGTTGTCAATATCATGTTTATAGTCAGAAGCTTGTGCTTCTAAAACACTTACAGCTTCTTCTAACATTCTGACATCTTCACGATATTTACCCAATTCTTCTTCCAAAAATGCTTTATCTTCTTCTAGAGCTAAATATATATTTTAAATACAATTAATAAATATTATTATCTATTATCATAAAAATAAAAAGATTAACACCAAAGAGACAATCACAATATCTACATAAACAATATTTTCACCTGTTAATTCATTTTCTAACAATCCATTTTCCTCTCGACAACATGACCACTCTGTTTCTAAGATAATGTTGCGATCTCTTACATCCTCTAATTCTTCTTGTATGTGTCTTTTTTCTTCATTCTCTCTTGACTTTTCTCTTTCCATAATAGAAAGTTCTTCTTTCAAAGTACAAAGTAAACTGTCCAAAGCAACCTTATAAACAACAATACAATTTTTGTTATAAACCATGTAGCAATCTTGTTAATAAAAAAAATCTTACAAAACCATGAAGCAACCTTGTTAATAAAAAAAATAAATCATTATTTGTAGTAAAGTTTTAGATGAAAAACAATGACAAATAATTAATAAAGAAAATAAAAACTTTATATATCTAAAAATATTTGCCTTCTCATTTTTCAAATCCACAATCAGTCTTTCTTTTCTAGCATTGTTATTATCACTAAGTTTTAAACTTGCTTCAAGTTGGGAATGATGCATGTTAACATCAACAAGTCGTTTCTCCAGTTTATCTTTTTCTAGTTGGGTCTTCTCAATGAGCTCTTCTAGAACTAGATTTCTATCATTAGCAGCACAAAGTTTATTTTCCAACTTTTCTTTTAACTCTCTCACAGTTTGTAGATCTAACTCTATATCTTTGAGTTTTTCTTCTGCAGCAGCTTTCTCTTTTCGCAGTATAAACAATTCCTCTTGAAGTTTGCCAGTTGTATTCTTTTCTAACTTCAATTCTTCCATAATTTGATTTACATTCAGTTTTGTATCATCAATTGACGGAACACCACTTTGCCATCCTTCTAGAAAATTTCCAGACTGAGCTTTGAGTAATAAGATACAACTCAACAAAGCTTTGTCAAACAATAAGTAATGCAATGAACTTTCCAAAGCTTGCAGATCATCAAAATGTTCATAACTTGAAATAGAATCTTAAAGGTAAAAAAAATAAATTGTTTTTAACTAAAAAAAAAAAAACAAGTTTTACTTTAGTTTTAGCTTTCAAAATTTAAAGGATTTCAGGTCAGCACAAGAATCTTATAGTTAGCTGACTATAGGCTGGCAAAATTTTACTGCAATAAGAATACTCATAAAATAAAGGCATAATTTAATCTATTGACAGACTTGATAATTAAATTAAAGCCAACAAGTTTAAAAACTGATCTTTTAAACAAACAAAAAAATGAGGTCATGTACTCTTAGGAATAAAAACATGTTCAAATAAATTATCCAGTCTGTAGAAAGGACAACATTGATAGTGCCAGAAAGGAGGAGAATAATTAAATATTAAACAAAATAGTTTTTTTTAATTTTTTATTCAAATGTGTAAATAATTTTCAAAATATGAAAGAAGTTCCATTTGATGCTATATTTATTATTATATCATATGTTAGAACTAACTTTAGATTTATGTTAGAAATTAGATGTTTTAACTATAAGAAAATAGATAACCAAAAAAAAAAAAATTATATATTAATCCCATATTAACTGTTTTAAAATATTTTTGCATTATAATGAAGTTTAAACCAACTGTTTTCATTATAATTATTGTCTAATTGATTTCTTGTTCCTTATTCTATTGTTTATTTAACTTAGTTACATTCAGTTGTTAAAAATGTTAAATCTTGGTTAAACAAGTTTTTCTAGCAACTTGGTGATAAAATGATGATTTCTTAAAAGAGGTTGGTATGCAACCTGGTGATAAAATGTTAATTTCTTAAAAGAGGTTGGTATGCAACTTAGTGATAAAATGATGATTTCTTAAAAGAGGTTGGTATGCAATAGGTATGTAAGCTGGTTGTATTCAATGTAAATCCATTATTGCATATTCCTTGTGGATTTTGTATTGCATTATTTAACCACCTTTTACTTTGTATTATTTAATTTTTTAATATTTAATTGAACAAAAAATAACACAATAGTTTGGGTGCAGAGTGCAATAGTTAGTGCAATATTTAGTGCAATAGTTAGGGCAATATTTAGGGCAATAGTTAGGGCAAAATATTGTTGAATAAAAATCATAAAAATTTATCATGATTTAATGACTCCATTTTTCAAATGATCTTTTACTCAAAAAAAAATTCAAATCTTATTATAAACAGAGTTGAAGCTTATTATGAGTTTTTAAAAGAAACTTATTATGAGGCTTAGATACATCTTACGTCTAGATACGTCTTAATGGACATACTCTAAAAAGAGTAAATTTAGTAAAACATTTTTACTTTTTCTTAAAAATTTAGAAAATTAATTGTAATTGTTCAAAAAATTGGTGGGTGATGGGTATAAAAGAACTTTTTAGAAGATGCAAAACATGTATAATTTAATACAGCCTTCTTTTAGTGTCTAGATTTTTAGCGCCTAGATTTAGTTACAAAAATTTAATTGGTTATCTACCAGGAAATATTTCAATTTAATTGGTTATCTACCAGGAAATATTTCACTTTTGTTATCACTATTGCTTAACTACTTTGACTATAAAACTTTTAATTTATTTTTTTATGTTACACATTTATATATATATATATATAAGCAAAACTTCTAGAAAGCTCATATAAAATCTTACCTCTGTGCTTGTCAAGAAGTGCAACCACATCATCTAATCGATTTAAATCAAGAAAACCAGTATCTAAATTTAGCAACAATTTTATTAAAAAAAATATTTGATTAAATAAAAATTGTTTTGCCAAAAAAATTTTCATATTTCAGGGCTCGAATTAAGCCTATCATGATTGCTTTTTACACATTCGCGATTAGTTTTTTCTTAAAACATATATTTTCGCGATTGGTTTACTTTTTTAGTTGTTTATTTACTATTTTTCTAACTTAGCTTTTTTTTTTGGCACCTCTTAAAAGTAACCTTTTTTGCTTTCTTATTTTTTGCTTTAAAGACCTTGAAACTATTGTAGTTATATTTAGTTAACTTTACTCAATGGATAGAGTCACAGTAAATTAACATATCACAGTAAATTAACTTATAACCTAAATCAAAACAACGGGTTGATTTTAGATAGTAACTTTCAGTTACTCAAGTATTAATTTAACAATTATATTAGTTTATTTAATATACTCGCAAAAGTTAGCCATAGACATGTTTCAATTTAGATCTTACATGTTGTTAACACATAATATAAGCTTTTAAACTAATAATTATTTTAACAAAAAGTCGAATAGAATATGAAAAACGCGACACCATTTTTTTATATTTTCATTTTATTTTTAGCGACATCTAGACTAAAAATTTTCTATAAATACGCAATTGTTTTCAGAAATTTTATTTAAAAAGAAATCAATTTAACAAGAGAACTTTAGCCTTAAAATTCACTTATTCAAATAATTTTGTGATTGAAATTTGAAATTTAAAAAAAGTTTGATGAAACAAGGGAGAAAAGAAGAAAGTTTTTTTTTCCTAAATCATAAATTTTTTTAACGTTTTGAATTACAATTTTTTTCTTGAAAATAGTTTTAAAAGTAGAAACATTCTATTGCAAACATCAAAGCAGTGATTGCAAATTGCAAGTTAAAATAAAAATTATAAAAAATTTAAATTAAATTTAATAAATTGTTTTACTTCTGTTCGAAAAATTTTTTTTCTAAAAAAATAATTTAGGCATATTCTTATACTTAATATAATTCGATTTATTAAACAAAATTTTTTGGTTCACTTTTTTTTTGGAAAACAATCAGAATAAAAAAAAAATTGAATGAAAAAATCAGTTTAAAAACCATTTGAATGAAAAACTTAATTATACTTAAATTTTTATTCGTACGCTTGATCAGGAAACGATAATTTACAAAAGACGTGGTATCTAATGTTTTTATGCTTTAATCTTACTTGTTTGGTCCATATATTATAAACTCGTATAGGAGTGGAATGCAAGAAGCGAACTTGAGTCAAGCTCGACTTGAACTTTACTTTATAACCAATAGCGGCAGAGTATTTTTTGAGGGGAAAACCCATACTCTGTCGATATTGGTTACAAAGTAAAGTTCAAGTCGAACTTGACTCAAGTTTGCTTCTTGCATTCCACCCTAGGTCTATAGGCGCAAATATGAAATTTTGTTTTAGTTTATTAACTAGATCATATTTATTTATTTGCTTCCTTTTATTTTAAACGCGTTTTATTTTATAAATTGTATAAATCAACATGAAACAGCGTCACGAATTTGTTTTACATTAACCCAAACTCTTTTATATTTTTAAAACAACTTTGCAGTTTGTTTTAATGTTGTTATATAGCTTTTAACAATTAAATGCTTTTTAAAATTAACACGTGTTTTAACGTCACACGAAGGTATTAAATAGTTTTCTTTAACTAATTAAAGTGGCTTAGATATTGTAATGTTGCTTTTTCTCTTACTTTTTTTCTTTTACTAAATTAAAGTATCATTTTAAGTAAAATATATACTTAAAGAAATATCTTAATAGTATCAAAAACGTTATTGCTTATTACAACTGCAACTCAAACTTTAAGTTATAACTTAAGATGTAAATAATAACAGTAACTTACGCTATTTTAAACTCTGCCGAACAAGAAAATTATAAGATTATATTTAAATATGAGAGATAATATATTAAAAATAGAACAATTATATGCTAACGCAATTTCCTTCTCCCCCTCCCCCCATTACCGCATAGACGCGCAAGGTATAGGGGGGGGGGGGGTGAATTTTTTTTTTGCGATTAGATTTTTTTGCCTTAATTCGAGCCCTGTATTTATGAAAATTATTTCTCACTTTTCATTGATACTTCAAATGTTTCCTTTAATTGTTTGACTGCATTTTGATTTGTAGTCTCTTTTAATTGAAGCAAAGAATTCATAACTCTTTTAAAACGTTCTTTCGTTTCACAAGATGGTTTCTTTCTTTCCAAAGAACAAAACTTTTTATTAGAACCATTAGCATATGAAATTTGTGCATGTTCAATAAATCGGGACATAGGCTCAAGTGTAAGTGGCAGGTCACTAATTGTTGATGCACTAGATTCTAGATAATCTGGGCTCATTATCACAGATGAATTACAACTTGAGTAGTTGGAGTTAACTTTTGATTTGTCACATAAGTAATCTTCCAACAACTAAAATTTCATGAAAATTATTTTATAAAAAATCATGTAGTTAAAAAAAGTAATGTTTAACTTTTGTTCTAATCTAATTAAATCAAAAGCAAAAACAAGCTCACCACAACTTGATATTTAAAAAAATTATAACAACAACTTTTGATTATTAGTTTTTACCTCAAGCAGTCCTTCCATACATTGCAAAACAAGATCTTGGTTTGAAGGAACAAACAGCGAGCTTGAATTTGCACCAAGATTCTTTTGTTGAAAGTTATAGAACAAATGAAGAGTCATTAACTCAACCACTAACAAAGCTTGCACTTGCTTTGAGGCAGATGGAGAGGCTAATTTTGAAGCATTCTAAAGAAATTTTTAACAATAAAAAACTTACTAGTGTCTTTTTTATTAATAACAATAAAAAAGACACTAGTAAGTTTTTTTAATTTAAATTATGTAAAAAGAAAATCTTACTATCACTATTACTAGTTTCATATAATATTTGCATTATATATATATATATATATATATATATATATATATATATATATATATATATATATATATATATATATATATATATATATATATATATATATATATATATATAAATTTAATAAATTTTTTCCTTCAATTGTAACAAGTTTATCAAATATATTTCCTTATCTTAATGACAAATCAATTAATGAATTTATAACATCACCTAATTTAACTTTAAATTTTTCAAACCTAACAAACGTAACATACAACGAATTTGAAGCAACGTTTAAATCATTAAAACGGAAAAGCAATTGGAGCATTTTTTACATATTTAATTATATTTTTTAAGATTACAATATATATTTATATATATATATATATATATATATATATATATATATATATATATATATATATATATTGTAATCTTATATATATATATATATATTGTAATCTTATATATATATATATATATATATATATATATATATATATATATATATATATATATATATATATATATATATATATATATATATATATATATATATATATATATATATATATATATATATATATATATATATATATATATATATATATATATATATATATATATATATATATATATATATATATATATATATATTATATATATATATATATATATATATATAATATATATATATATATATATATATATATATATATATATATATATATATATATTATAAATTAGTAGAAAATCACTTAAATTTTTTTTTCATTTAATTTATAAATTAAATGAAAAAAAAAATATTTCATTTAATTTATAATTTACCATTGGCAAAGAAAATCTTCTCGCAACAACTTCTATTTTTAGTTGTGCAATTACTTTTTCATAGTCCTCTTTTTGCAAGTTCCAACTATGCTCTAAAAAAATATTTTCTTTTCTTAAAAAAAGCAATTGCATATACAACACATACAAGCATATATGTGTGAGTGCAAGTGTGTGTGTGTATTGTTTATATATATACATATATAAATAATTCATACATACATATATATACAAAACCTATATACAACAGGATTTCTTTACAAATTAAAAAAAAAAATAAAATAAAGTGTTGATCATAAATGCTACATAAATTTGCAATTATGATAACAGCATCCATATGAAATAAAAAACAACCTAGATTTTCAAGCTTAGCAGCTAGAGCTTCAGCTAATCTTTTGTAATCAACTTCATAATTAACATGTGCCATAACTTGTACTTTCATTGCACGCGAGCCAAAGTTTAAGCTGCACTTTGTTTCATGCAAGTCTTTAACAGTTGGAGCTATACATACCTAATGCAACATTTAGATTCAATCATTTGAAATACTTTATTAAATTAATGACATTAACAAATTTATGATAAGGGACTCACTACTAAACGAGTTTTGCAGTTTCCTGATAAACCTTCTTGCAGAAGTCTAGTCAAAGTTGAATTACGAAAGGGAACATGAGTTTTATTCCCTTCTGCTAGTGCCTGAATTACATTTCTAAAATAAAAATAGTTTCTAGTTGTCTATATGATATACTATAAAATATCAGATAAAAAGCTTTTCAAATTTCACAAAAAAGTTTATTAGATAAAATATCTAATAAAAATGAAAAAATTACATTTCTAAAATAAAAATGGTTAGTATATGATGTCTATCAGAGTGTAAAACAGGATATAAATACTATAGCCATTTGTTTAAATTGGGAAAATCATTCAGGACATGGCTTGAGTTGTAGTTGCAAAAAAAAGAAAAAAAACAACCCTCCCCTCCAAAAATAAACAAACATTGGCCTCTCTGATTTGTTTACAGCGAGTTACAAGTAACTGGGTCTTTCATTACATACAACTGAGAATTGTCTAAATGATGGACTAAATAGAAGTTAATTAAAACACTATATAATATACAATGTCACACAACATAATATACTATATGATGTCACACAAAATAATATATGATGTCACAGAATATAATATACTATACGATGTCATAGAAAAAGTTTTATAAAATTTAACAAAAATAAAAAATAAAAACTTTGTAACCAACATTTTTTATTTTAATTAAAATATACTGACCACAACCATAACACATTCTATTATTGAAAATAAATCTTTTTAAAAGAAAAATAACTGATTCAGTTTTTAAAATATAAAATTAGTTATTTCAAATTATAATGTTTCTTTCTGGCACAAGTAAAAAAATCACATAATGAAATACTTTTAAGATAGTGTTTGATAAAACAAAAGTAAAGACATTAGGAAATAAAGTACTTAACAATTGAAGTAGAAACAAAGTATTTAATGAAATTAACAATTTAAATGCATTTATTAATTTATAGCATGATCAAATTGTCAAACTTAATAGTTGGCAATCAATTATGAAATGTAAAATAAAAACATTTTTTACTTTAGTACTATATTTTAGCTCTTTGTTGTCTTTACCATTGAGTTTTTTGTTGTCTTTACCATTGAGTTTTTTGTTGTCTTTACCATTGAGTTTTTTGTTGTCTTTACCATTGAGTTTTTTGACTTTGTTGTCTTTACCATTGAGTTTTTTGACTTTGTTGTCTTTACCATTGAGTTTTTTGACTTTGTTGTCTTTACCATTGAGTTTTTTGACTTTGTTGTCTTTACCATTGAGTTTTTTGACTTTGTTGTCTTTACCATTGAGTTTTTTGACTTTGTTGTCTTTACCATTGAGTTTTTTGACTTTGTTGTCTTTACCATTGAGTTTTTTGACTTTGTTGTCTTTACCATTGAGTTTTTTGACTTTGATGTCTTTACCATTGAGTTTTTTGACTTTGTTGTCTTTACCATTGAGTTTTTTGACTTTGTTGTCTTTACCATTGAGTTTTTTGACTTTGTTGTCTTTACCATTGAGTTTTTTGACTTTGTTGTCTTTACCATTGAGTTTTTTGACTTTGTTGTCTTTACCATTGAGTTTTTTGACTTTGTTGTCTTTACCATTGAGTTTTTTGACTTTGTTGTCTTTACCATTGAGTTTTTTGACTTTGTTGTCTTTACCATTGAGTTTTTTGACTTTGTTGTCTTTACCATTGAGTTTTTTGACTTTAAAAACATGCTGTGATTTGTTCTTTCTGATAAATTTCCAATCTTGTAATAAGTATGTTTAAACATTTTTTATTTTAGACTTTTATTTCAAAACTAAGTTATTATTTTTACATTTTTTATTTTAGACTTTTATTTCAAAACTTATTTATGATAAAACTATGCTATCCTGTGAAAACACTTTAATTAGAGAAACTTTATTCTCTAATTAAAGTGTTATAAAATAAGCTTACAAGTTTAGTGAAGTGTATATTCATAACAAATTTTTTGGTTTAAAGCCTATTAAGTTATTAGAATTTACTTAAAATCACAAAAAAACTTTTTAGAGGCCCTGTTGATAGTTAAAATTTTAAATAATATTTAATGAACACATAAAAGTCAACAATTTACTTTTAGTGTTTAGATTAATTGCATCCTAAAATTTTTATTTAATTATATATACTATTTGAGTCAATTATATTTAAAACATATTAATAAATAATATTGTATTACATTTTAATAAATAAATGAAAATGATATGCACCCTAATTCAAGCAAAGATGAGTTGATATGTTGTGCTTCCTGTAAACGCTCACCAGCTGCTTGAGTTTTCTTAATTCTTTCACTTCCGGCTAAATCACATCTAAATTAATAAATAAAACTTTTTATCTTCATTAAATGATCTCACTTGAAACCAACAAAAAAAAAAAATTTGCTTACATGTACATTTTCCCTCGAATTGATGTAACACCATCTTCTAAATCTGTTACTTGATTTGCAATATCATCAAAATCATCCTATAATTTAGTTTTAAAAAAAGGAAACCTTTTTTTTTTTAAATATTTAACTATTTTAACTAAAAAAAAATTCCTCACATCATCTTCAATAAGAGACTGATAACTTGAATTCTACAAAAAAAAAATTATTTAAAAAATCAAAATTTAATATAATTAAAATTTTGAATAAATAATACTACATAAAATTAAATCAGCAAATATCGTGGTACAATGACTGCAACCGTGTAGTGCATCTTTTTTTATTAAAAAACTTGGTAAATTTTTATCTAGAATATTATCTTGCCAGTGCTAAAATCCTATTCCAATTGGTTGTTTGGTAAAACCTAGTTTCATTTTTATAAAATGATGATTTTAAGACTTATTTTGATAATTTTACACAAATTTTAATTGTACAACCTTTAAATTATTTTATTTTAACAAAAACAAACATAATTTACCATGCTTCCTCCTAATGGATCATTTTCATAAAGATCATCATCAATGTCATCAGTGTCTGGAGTTTTCACTAATGAAGGAGAGCTAACTTCATTTGGACTATTGTTTGCAGAAATAACACGCTCTTTTAAAATTTTTAATTGACATATTGCATGTGATCTATAAAAAGTGTTCAAAATTGCAAGCAAATTTTAAAGCAAATGTGTTCATATCTCATTAACCCTGTTATTAACCCATTTTATTTCATTCATTTATTCTCTCATTACTTCACTTTTTAACTATTTTTTAATATTGTTTTTATTTTCTTTTGCAAGGGAATTACACGGGTTTAACTACAAAAATGCACATTTGAGTCAACTACACTTTTACTAATTCAAAGTCAAACATTCTATGAGTTACCTGCTTGATGCTCTATTCATTTTAGTTTCTGCAAATACAAGTCTTTGTTTTCCTACTTTTAACAAATTTAGAACTTCCTTTGGAGAATGAACAACATACTCTGTAAGATTTTCAATGTAGACACCTAGATAAATTCAAGTAATGGTATATATATATATATATATATATATATATATATATATATATATATATATATATATATATATATATATATATATATTATATATTATATGTATATTATATATATATATATATATATATATATATATATATAAATATATATAATATATATATATATATATATATATATATATATATATATATATATATATATATATATATATATATATATATATATATATATATATATATATACATATATATTTATATATATATATATGTGAAGGCCTCAACGGAAGAATGATCAGAGTCACAAATTTGATTTTTTTTTTTAGTTATTGCCCTTTTATTGTAGCCCTGGGTTCATACTTTGTCTACCTGAAGTGACTAATCGAAAAATAATTGAAGTCTTGAGTTATGGGAATTTTAACTACATTATAAATGAACTACATAATGGGAATTTTAACTACATAATAAATGAACTACATAATGGTCTTTTAAATCCTAAAAATTGATTTTCTCAAAACAGCAAAATTATGATTCTGATTGTTGTTCCGTTGAAGCCTTCATTCATGTATATATATATATATATATATAATATATATATATATATATATATATATATATATATATATATATATATATATATTTTATAACACTTACTGAACTTAGTAAATAATAGAAAATTTTATGCTATAAAAGTATTACTTTCTTCAAAATATTAAACATCTAAAATTGGTTTGATAACATCTAACCAATTTTAGATGTTTAATATTTTTTTATATTTAACTTTTAACTAATTTGTTTAAATTTTTTACATAATATAATTATATTTTTATAAAATCATTTATTAAACATTAGTAAACTTTAATTGAAATAGATTTTTGCAATTTAATACCCCCTCATGCTTCACAACGCTCGAAGACATTTTTAATTTTTAAATTAAAAATGTCTTCGAGTTAGAGTAATGCTGCCAAATGTAAAATTACATCAATAATTAATTATCCCCTCCTCCCACCACCACCCCTTAAAATCAAATTAAAATGGAAAAATAATAAAATTGAAAAAAATTGAAAAAAATTAAAACAGTATTTTAAATAACTAATTTACAATTAATTTACAACTAAAACAAAAATGCGATTAAAAGATTAAAAAAAATTAATCAACTTTTAACTTATGAACATATTAACTACAAAGCTTATCCTAAACAAAAAAAAAATTAAGGGGTTCATAAAAATGTATACAGCTTACACATTTAAATTATGAACATGTTTCAAATTAATACATTTCAATGTACCAACCCTCCCCACTTTAACATTAGTGAAAACCAACAATTGCTAATAGAGTTTAGTATAACAAAAAATTTCTATTTAACAAATTGTATAAACCAAGGGTTGGCAACCTTTTGAGATGGAAAAGCCAAAAGTTACAATTTACAAAGTTTTTCAGTTTTTAAAGAGCTACCAATATCTTTATTTCAATATTGTATTATTATTTGTGAATGGAGCTAAAGAGCTGACATTGAAAGAACCACATGAGGTTTGCAAGGCACAAATTGTACCCCTGGCATAAGCGTTTAAATAATATAATGTAGACTATGCACTTACATAAATCTTTTTTGTTTGCAACTCAGACTAATCAACAACAACTTTGAAAAAAAATTAGCGTTATGAGTAAACATCTTGTGTTTACTTTTTAGTTCTGTATGTGTCAGGTCTTTTTAAAGTATAAAAGGGTTTTTAAAAATAAGGAGTATAAACAGCTTTATTAAAATACTGAAGGTTGAGCAAGTATATAACACAGAATTGCAAATGCTGCCTAATTTTCCTTTTTTTAAGTAACTAAATTAAAAAAAAAGTAATATTGCTGATATCAACTTGTCTTGATCTCCACCCTTCCCCTTATCAACAATTGTCAAGAAAATTTAGACCATCCTCCCCCTATTTTGTTGATCTAATTAATGGACAGCCCCATAATCTAGCACTGAATATTCAGGGGCAATTCTAGGAATAAAATTAGGGGAGACCTTAAAAACTGCCAACAGCTTTGTTTTCAAAAAAACTAAAAATTTGCCGACTAAAAAAGATCAAGCGCCAACTAGCTGACTATATTCCTAAAAAAATCAACTACAAATTGAAAATCATCTTCTTTGTGGGGGAGGAGGAGGGGTAATCACCTTTTTTGTGTGTGTTTATTTAAACATTCAGGTAGCCTAAAATTTGATAAAAATATTTTTGTTATAAGATAATTAATGCTCATTAAGATAATCATAATAGTATATATATATATATTGCTTCAAGTCCCAGCTTCTAAATATAAAAACAAAGAAGAAAAAACAAACATAGAAATGAAAATGTCTATATGTGATCTTTAATCTTCTGACAAACATTATTCAATAAAACGTTATTTCTAATAGTATGTCTCCTTTTTTTGTCTTGTTAGGGTCATACCACACATCCATCTGATCATCATCGTTTTTTGGCTAACACTACACTATATAAATGCTAAAGCTTATGTAAATATGTAAAGATTTTGTATGCCAGCATCTAAATAAGTAGCAAACATATATGTTTATATTCATATATAACCATATTATGTATGCATAACTGCGCCTCTTACTTAACCTTCTGGATACAAGCAGATATGAAAGCTTTTATTCCTTTTCTTTAGCTTTAAACCAAGCCTCATTTTATTCTAGGCTTTTCACTTTTATTGTGCAGTTGCTATGTTAAACTGTAATCATTTTTTTACATCTTTCTTGAGAACAAATGTCTTTTTATTATTGCAAAAAGTTAAAGTAAAAAAGTACTGTCTGATGATAAGATCCATTATTCTCAGTTTACTGAATCATGTATCTTTTCTCAGATGTAAGTTCTAGAGACTTTTGAAAAATCTTTAACAATGTCATTAACTAAAGTAAGTCTAACCATCTCTAATTCATGGGTTTGATCTGTAACTGGAAGGCATGGCTACCCTCCAGTTAAGAAACCACTCATACTGCAAGAAATTTAAAAGACAGAATATAATTTGCAAAAGATGGACAATTAATTGACTGGTCAAAAGTCCTTTTCTCTGATTAATCAAAGTTTATGGTATTTAATAGTGACAGAACTAGGTATTTAAAACAATAGTCCAATAGGAGACAGACTAATCCAAAATCTCAGTTACCTACTGTTAAACATCGAGGAGGAAAAGTTATGGTTTGGGGGTGCTATAGTCATGACACTTTAGGTCTTATCGCATAGAAAGTATAATGGACCAGAGAGTTTATTTAGACATAAATGTTATGCTGCCAAATTCAAAGCATAAAATGATTCATAAATGGATCTTAAAACAAGATAAGGATCCAAAGAATTATGCTAGATCCATTAAGAAATATTTTGAATCACAAAAATTAAAGTTTTTGAAGAACTTTAATTTACAGATGTAAATCCGATTTAGCTTCTTTGGGAGTACATTGACTGGCAATTGGTTGGTAGAAAACCAACCAAGTCCATTTATTTGCTTTGATTAAAAAATGTTAGTAGGTTACAAATGTTGGTCTTACTAATTTAGTTGATTTGATGCCTTATCATTGTGATGCTGTTTATGCTGTTTTAAAGGCAAATGGATATGCCACAAAAAAAAAAAAAAAAAAACTGTTTTATTAAAACTATTTTATTGAAAAATGGTAACTTTGTAAGATTTTGTAAAAATTGCAGCTTTTTTGAAATAAATATTAATCAAAATTTAGTTTTCTAAACTTTAGCACTAAATTTTTTTTTAAAACAATATTAATTAAACTGTTAAATTTTACAATTTTTTAAGTTTGTATTTTGAATTGATATAATTTAAAGAAATTTTAGTAAAAACTACAGCTTAATCGAGTTTTAATTTTTTATTTGAGAAAATTTAAAAAACATTTGATAAAAATTACAGCTTATTCAAGAAAATTTAATATATAATTCCCTGCATTTTGAAAAAATATGGACTTTTTGTTTCAAATTGAAGTCTTTCCTTGAATAACAATTATTATAATTTTTTTTTGTTATTGGCTAAAATTAGTAAAATTAATTAAATAAAACAAAAATAATTTATAAAAGTAATAAGTCAATAATAATTTTTAATTTCTTTTTTAATCAAAAATGATAATTATTTACATCAATAATTACTAAAAAATTTTTTTTTAATGTTAAGCAATTATTTACAAAGATGATATCTAAAAACTAGTGTAAAATAATTATACAGAATACCTGTTTTTGGGTGTTCCCTTAAAGAAAGTTCAATAGTTCTAGTTTCATTTAATAAATCAAAAATTTTATCTTGATAAATTTGAAGGTATGAGCACATCACCTAAAAATAATATGAATACAAAAACCATTTAAATAATGTAATCCGTAATAACAGTAAAAAACCTAAGTATTATAGTATAAAGTGTAATGTTTTATAAAAAAAAATCAACTTCAAATCCAACTGGGATAAAGAAGTAAATCACAACAAAAGTAATAACAAAGGAAACAAAATTATAAACTCTTATTTAATAAAAAACAATATGGGCAAAAAAGTAAATAAATAAATTTTTATGCATGGTTATTATATTTTTAACATTTTTATAACAAAATATTAAACACTTTAAAAATTTCTTACAGTATATTTATGCTTTTTGTCAAAATTGATAACTTTAAAGCATTTGTATACAATTCGAACTGTCATTCCATCATTTGACATAAGAGAGTGAGTTTTCCCTAGGAGTTAATAGTTTAACTTCAATGAAAAAATTGTTAAAATAATAATTTATTAAACATTTAATTGAGGTAAAAAACATACAAACGATATACAGTGTTAAACAAATCATAAACATTTGTAAATTACTTTTTTGATACTTGTATATAGATTTATTTAATTAATACCTGTTCCTGTCTGTCCATAGCACATTAGGATACCATTAAAACCTGACAAGGCAGAATATACAAGAGGTTCTGCAACTTGCTTAAAAGTTTCTCTGTTATCAGAACTTTCTGAAAGCACACCATCAAACTGATAACACCTGTCATTTTTGCCATCAAAGCATTTCAGCTGAAACAATTTTATTTTATTTTTAAATCAACATCATAAAAATAAATCATTGTTTAAAGTCAAACATACCTGTGTACATTCTTCATCCTCAATAGAAACAGCAATTGGATGTTTGCCTATATCTTCATTTTCATTTATAGGTCGAATACGAACAAACACTTGTACTCTACCAGGATCTAAAAATAATAGTTCATTTTGAATTATGTATAAATGTCTGTTTAGATAACATGTCTGACGTCAAATAACTTGTTGTCATGGGCTCCAGTACATACATCAACTATTTTATAGCCTGCTGCCACAAAGGAGCATCACTATATCAACTGATGGTTTGGGATGGGACAGCAGACATTTTTTTTAGATGTTGTTTTGAATAGTTTAGTTAAAGTTGTTACAAAGAATTGGAGGGTGGTCTTTTCTTGAACAGAAAAAAGCATGGTCAAATTTACTTAAATTGGGTACTTATAAAACAGGAATTGTGAAAAAAAAAGGAAAAATAAGGTGAAAAAAAACTCTTAAGTGCTTAATGATGTTGATGTATAAATAAAGATTACTTATTCCTATTTTCAGTATACAGGAGCTCTAAAATATATAAAAAACCTGGATTACTAATGGGAAAAAAATTAAAACTTCTAAAGTTGTTATATCTAATATTTTAGTCTTTGATTATGTAATAGATGTATTAGTTCTGGTATCAATTTAGTTGCTTTTCTTTGAACTTTTTTAAGTTCTTTGATATCTTTTTTATAATAGGGGTTCCATACTTTATTCACAAACTCCAAATGAGGACTAACATACATGCAATAAAGCATTTTCACAAGGTAATTATCTTTATACTTAAAACTATTATTTGATATTGCAAGCATATTGTTTGCTTTACTGGCAGCATTCCTTACTTTTCTTTCCCATTTCAAATCCTTGGATATATAAATACCTAAATCAATTTTAAAAGTAGAGTTTTCAATTTCTTTTAGTTCACCATCACTTTTAATGAAATAAGAGTATCTTTCATTACTTGCAAAAAAATGCATTATTTTATATTTCTCAAAATTCATAAATGCGATTATTTTATTGCCATTGGCATACAAACAATATTTATTAAGAAGTCTGCTTGGAAAATTGTTTATGAATATCAAGAAAAGGAGTGGACCAAATAAAGAACCATGTGGTATTCCACTTAACAAATCAACCCAATTTGCCTAGTAATTTCCCATCATTACTCGTTGTTTCCTATTTGATAAGAATGATTTAATCCATTTAAGAGGCATACCAACAGTACCGGAAACACAAACCTTAGCACATAATATTATGTGTGATACTCTGTTGAATGATTTTTGAAAGTCGGTATACCTTTCAGAAAGCCATGCTGTTCTTTTGCTAATAGCTTGTTTGTTATTAAATGCTTGATTATATTATCAGCAATTATTCTTTCTAATATTTTACATGGTATTGAAAACAGAGATACTGGCCTGTAATTTGTTGGTTTACTCCCTTGCTTAAATATAGGTGTTATATTAGCCTTCTTCCAAATATCAGGTACAGTACCATCTTCTGTAGATTTTTTAAACATTAAGTAAAGAGGATATGAAAATGATGAACTGCATTGTTTTAGAACAAAAGGATGTACCAAATCAATTCCAATTGATTTTGATATATCAAGAGCCTTTAATCTTTTTTCTATATCATTTTGTGCTATCTCGACAGCTTCTAATATCGTGTTTAATTGACAGTTATCAATATTTTTGTTTACACCTTTATCTTCTACATATACAGAATGAAAATATTTATCAAATTTACCATAATAATAGACAAATGCTTTTTGCACTGATCTTTTAATAATTTAGCATTATATCTTCCAGCCTCAGTTAAATCAGGGTTGATAAAAACATTACTAAACTTGCTCAAATTTTTCAAGTTTTTTGCAGCTTTTAAAATAGAGTTCCATTCGTTTTTATTGTTAAGGATAATAACAAATGGTGGATCTTTATAAGCATAGCTTCAATCGTTGCGTTTATTGATTTAAATATATCAACAATCGTTTTTCTGTTTTTCTCTTTAGCATTTGCTGTCTAATCTAAATCTTTTGTTTCTGCAAAAATTATTTTCTTGTTTCGTTCTTTCTTTTGTTTCTGCAGCAACAACAAATTATAACATTATTTTCTTGTTTCGTTCTTTCTTTTGTTTCTGCAGCAACAACAAATTATAACATTATTTTCTTGTTTCGTTCTTTCTTTTGTTTCTGCAGCAACAACAAATTATAACATTATTTTCTTGTTTCGTTCTTTCTTTTGTTTCTGCAGCAACAACAAATTATAACATTATTTTCTTGTTTCGCTCTTTCTTTTGTTTCTGCAGCAACAACATTCATAATATGCTGTTACTCCTCTGACTTTTTTACTGATGCATTTCCACTAACAACGCTTGCTCAAGATATTGAGGTTGATTTACTAGTAGATTCAACATTTTCTAAAACTCTAATCCTTTCTAACAACTTATCTAACAAGTTATCTTTAGCTCTTCAATCGTTTAATGCACTGATTATTTGCTCTGCTTTAAAGTTATTAAATTCCGTTGTCTGAAACCATGATTAAATATAAACAACAACTTTAATTTAACTAACTTTTTTCTAGTTTTAATTTTAACTAACTTGTTTACAATTATTAAATAAAACACGTCTTCTCACTGTATACTCCATACATAAAAGTGAGATATAGATATATATATATATACATAAAAAATAGGGGAGATTGGAAAAGAAGGAGAGGGGTGAGGAGTGACCCCCTATAAGTGAGTTTATATTTTCTAAATTTTAAGACCTAAACCAGTCTAAAAACTTAGAAAACAATAAATGAAAAATTTAAAAAAGAACAACTGAAAATTTTTTTTTTTAGATTTGAGATTTTTATGTAAGCACTTAAGAGTACCACCTTATTTTTTCTTTGATTTTTCAAAATTCCTGTTTTATAAGTAACAAATTTAAGTAAATTTGACCATGTTTTTTTTTTCTGTTTAAGAAGAAACCTCTCTCCAATTCTTTGTAACAACTTCAACTAAACTATTCAGGACATCTTAAAAAAAAAAAACAAGCTACACCAGCATTTAATTGTACTGCATGTAATTTAACTTGACCCAGTAAAATTGCAATAAAGGTCAAAAATACAGATGTTATGTTTATTTTTAAATATTTTTAGTTTTTTTATTGGATTCCTTGCCTCAAAATATGTAAATGTACATATTTTCAGCTATCCATTGCACACAGAATAGAAACAAAGACCTAAACCATTTTTAAAAATAGTTATTTTGAAAATATAATTTTTAAACAGTAAAATCAACAAAAAAAACTCATCATCTTTTACTTTTTTTATATAAAAATGCTGAATACAAAATATATAACTTCATATTAATTATATATGCATTTTTTAATATACACTTTACACATATTGCAAGCAATTAAAAACAATATTTTTGAATGGTCTTTTGTTTCTGTTGTTTTTTACTTTTTTTTTTGCAAAGAGATCTCTAGAATCACTTTCGGCATTAAACTTTAAAAGTAAAGGTTATAAAAAAAAAATGAAATAAATCAACAATGTTTTAAAAGCAATAAAAAACTCCCTTCTTAATTTTTTAAAATTAAAATCAAATTAAATAACAAATAATTTATTCTACCCAAATGCATTCTTTTAAATTTGATTTTTTTAAATTTTAATTTCCAATAAAATTAGTTTTGTTTTCTACAATTTCACATTTCATGAAGTAATTATTTTAATCAGTGGTTTACTAAAATTTTAAGACAAAAACTGCAATATTTTTAAAATCTGAAAACATGAATTATTTAACCTATTACAATAAATGAAAAACAGAGACTAATAAATAATTTAATAAAACTGTTATAATGAGTTTAAACAAAATGAATTGAACTAAAAAGTCTCCAAAATAATTCTGGTTTTCATTAAAACAAAAGAGTTTACTTGAGAAAAATATTTTAAAAAATAAATCTACAGTTTTTACAAAATGATTATTATATAAATGAAATTATTTAAGGTGATGTGTTATAAATACTTATTTAAATTTATTTTTAAATATTTTTCCAAAATTAATAATACATAGAGAAATTTTTCATATGATTAAGTTGTCATTAACATTACTCACCTTTCTTACTTAGAGAATTAGCAAAAATCTGCTTTATAAAAGGAGACATGCTTTTCCCCCCACTTGTTCTGTTTGACTTATTGTTTTTTTCAATAAAGCTATTTCTCTTGTTAGGCTTTTCCAAAAAACTATTTTTATTAAATGTTTTGTTTTCGCTGCTTGGGCACCTGATTGTTCTTTCAACACTTGAGCTTCTTGTTTGCTTTTCAATATTTACAGAAAGGCTGGATTTATCTACATTTGATTTGATGCAAGATTCTAGATCATCTTCTGTTGTCTTAGTAGAACTTTCTTGGCTATTAGCTTCTTGCAGTTTATTTAACCTTGTCTTACGTACATACAATGGTTTTTTACCAAACAAAGATTTTTTTGTGTTTTCTACCAGCCTGCTGTTTTCCATTACAAGTGTAAAAATTTTTGAAGCAGCTGCTTCTTCAACTATTCTTTATTTGGATTATTAAAAAAAAAAAATTTCTTAATTTTCAAAAGATTAACTAACAAAAAAGCAGATGGTGACAAACAATTTTTAATTTGATAATTTGATTTTAAAACTGTTTTAATATTAATTGTTTTTTCCATGTAATACAAGTATAATAAATTGTTCATTTACTATAATCCAATAGTGCTATTAAGCATCTGTTTAAAAACTTTATTACTTGAAAACATAAAAATATAATTTTAAAGATTAACTCAAGACAAAATTATAAAATATCATAATTTAAAAACACTAATGAATAACAGTTTTTTAAAAAATTCTTTGACCACTTTTTTTTAATGAATTTATATTTATTAATACTATATCAGATCAAGCCTATGATTTTCATAAATCAACCATTTCCTGTCACATAATGCTTTGTATTTACTAACCTAGCAATAAAATTAGTTCATTTAATACATTGTGTTTTGAAACAATGCTGATAAGCTTTAATCAAAAAGGAATGAGCCAACTTAAAAACTAAACACGAATCTTATTGTACAATATTTGAAGCTAATTTTATTAAAGTTGTTAATATATATATATATATATATA